CTCCCTCCCCGATCTCAAATCCTCCTCCTCTCCACGCTCCATTCCGTTCGATCGCAAACAGTCCCTCCGCCCTCCGTTGCCATTCAATCCTCCCTTCCCGATCTCAAATCCTCCTCTCCACGCTCCATTCCGTTCGACCGCAAACAGTCCCTCCGCCCTCCGCTGCCATCCAATCCTCCCTCCCCGATCTCCCTTCCATAATCATTCCCCCAGCTCCTCCCTCTACTGTTCCCATTATACTCTGCGAACACCTCTAAGCTTCGTCCAACTGACCCAATCCCGCTCATTCCCTCTTCATAGTTCACCCGACACTAGGCTGCGGCTATGTATCCCCCTCCTCCCCCTCTTCTATCATCACATCTACACCAACTAAGAATCTCCCTCCATCCTGCCCCGCCATTTCCCATCCTCCCCAGTCTTCCGGATCGCAATCCGAATCCTTTACTTTCCTCGCCTACATCTCCCCGCCCTCCGTTCTCATTTCCATCTTTCCTCGACTATACGCTGATTGCAAACAGTCCCTCCGCTGCTGTTGCCATTCAATCCTCCCTCCCCGATCTCCCAATCATAATCATTCCCCCAACTCCTCCCTCTTCTCTTCCTGTTATACTCCGCGAACACCTCTAGGCTTCGTCCAACTGACCCAATCCTGCTCATTCTCTTTTCATAGTTCACCCGACATTAGGCTGCGGCTACATAGTCCCCTCCTCCTCCTCTTTTGTCATCACATCTACGCCATATGATAATATCCCTCCATCTTGCCCCAGTCTCCCTGATCGCAACCCGAATCCTCTACTCCCCTCGCTCACATCTCCCCGCCCTCCGTTTTAATATCCATCTTTCCTCGAATATACGTCGATCATATACTCTGTGAACAGCTCTGGGCTTCGTCCAAACTGACCCAACCCTTCTCGCCTACGTGCCCCTGCCCTCCGTTTTCTTTCAATCTTCCTCTTCGCACCTAGCCGATCACGGCTGACCATATCACGTTCTCTGAACCCCTCCTCTTCTCCCACTCATTTCCCTTGTCCCCGTTCAATCATCCAGCGGGATAGTCCCGTCCCCACTCCGATTTCCTTCTCTTAGTCATACGAATGCTTCTAGGCTTTGATCACAACTAACCTCCGTCTTATCGCGACCCCTTTATAGCCCCCCCGTCATCCGTTTGGTGTTCCACCCGCCTCTCAATTACCACATAACCTTTCCCGGGCAGTATAATCTTCCCCCCCCCATTCACGTTCAAATTGGCCTGCCTCACCTCTCTTTTACGTCAATTGACAATCCCCTTCCACTCTGCCCCAATTATTTCCCATCCTCCCCCACCTCCTGGATCGTAACCCCAAGTCCTTGCTCTCTTCGCCTACATTCCCCCCGCCCTCTGTTCTCTTGGCTCCAAATTCTATTTTTCTAATATTCACCCCCCCCTCCGTCCACCCTTGTGACCTCCTTTTCTTTGGTTTACTGATCCCCTACTCTAACTGACCCTTGCCACACAACCTAGGGATTGAAGGTTCCGACAGCGTAATCAAAGTGGGCTAGGTTTGAGTCCCATTTAAACGAAGAGAATGGCTTCCTCAACCCAAAACGCGGCTATAACGAGTCAGAACCCCTTGGAAAAATTGATCACTGTAATCGATAACGAAGCACTCAAATTCCTGATAGAGAAAATGAAAGTTCAAGGGATACAGACCACGGAAACACGAAGGGTTGACGGCAAAGAATAGTAGGTCATTGTCTGGAAATATCCGGAGGAAAAAGTGGCAGAGTTGGACGATTTGCATGAAAGACACGGTGTGGCGTTTAATTTCGCACGCAACGGAGCGGATCTCCGAGAGGCAGAGAAGAGAAAATGAGTCATAGAGGCAATTAAGAAAGAACCGAAACTGAAGCAAATTGGAGACACTTTCACTCTGCAAATTATGGGCCGGAACAACATTATGGCATTGTTTACTTATGAAGAACACGCACGGCTCACAGCCGACATACAATCCAAAAATTGCAATGGGTCAGTCTGCACAATCACCAAATGGAAAAAATTGATTGCACAAAGGCAGAACCCGGGGTTTACGGTATCTTACAAACATACTCTCCTAAAGGAAAACTTATGGGTTCAATTCGACAACATCCAACCGGGATTCCATGGTCTACTGGTGGATAGGCTAGAGAGACACTATACAACAAACAGGATCCTCAAATGGATCCTGCCAACACCGGAATTCCTAGCACCGCACTGTGGTACCATGACGGCGGTGCTGGAAGTCAAGACAGACGACCCTCCGGTATTCCCACCAACCTGGCAATTCAAGAGAAATCAAGGTCTCAACTAGGACCTCTCCGATCTGTTTCCGGGGCAGAGAGCGGGGGCAAATGGGTACGGATCCCAATTGCCCCAACTATCTGAAATAGTCGAAAGAGCGCAAACTCCTCCCCAACATGCTGGTGGAAGTGGAGGATGCCCCAGGTACCTGGTTCATCCCTGATTCCAACTACGATGGGTGGGTGTTCGATGACAACCTGGAGGAACTAGATTGGGTCTGGCACTACGTCAATCCGGTGCCGTCAGTCAAAAAACCCAACATCTTCCCCCCTGCAGATAGCAAATGGCAGAAGAAAGCAACCGGGAAAGTATCAGGAAACCCAACGAAGAGTAATACCGACCCTCTCATCGATTCCCAGGTGATCAGGGAGGAAAAGGCTCGGGAAAACTTACTATTGGACTTGGAAGCGGTCAGGGAACAAACCGTACAAGAGTTCAATAAACAACCAACCTCCTCCCAGGCCATATTGAAGAACCTCGAACAAGCAGAGCACTCCGGAAGAAGGAAAGAGCACACTCAGATAACAAACGCACGCTGAACAATGTCGACGTGTATGAGACCACGGAGGGAGGTCTCAAGAAACAGAAGGCAATGGACACAGAGGGGAGGGAGGGAGCAATATGAACGTCCGTCGAGGAGGACAAAAAAGGCAAGATGCTAGACTCAGGGGATCTTGGGACAGGAAGTGTGGCAGATGGAAGCAACAATGAAATAGGGGGGTCAACCACAGACAGTGAAAATGGCTACCAACGTTCCCTACAGTGGCTCAGGGACTGTTGAGAAGGTTAAAAGGGAAAGGGAGCACACTTTCGATATCCGGGTAGCCTGCCTGAAGCACGCGGAAAGATCCCAAAAGAGTGGCAAGCGGGGAACAATCGATGGCATAGGGAACTGCAACAACCAATTTGAAGCACTCTGTAAGGAAAAGGCTGAGAAGTTCTTTGAATACACAGCTTTCCGATACGCTGAAAAGAAGAGGGCAAGAGATCAGGGAGTAACGGACAAGGATAAGACTATCCCAGACACCAAAGACGATTTCCAAGATCTGCGCCCAAAGAAGAGGAAGTCAGGAAAGAATCAGAAAAAGAAAAGACCTCGACGCATAGCAAATGGAAAATGAAGAGGAATCAGACCGTACTCTTCTGGAAAAGGAAGCAACAGTGGTGGTAGCCCAAACAGAGAAATTGAAGAAATTGAACGAGGAATACCTGAATTCGTCACTATTGCACACATTGCCAAGGATGAGGCTCCGTTGGTGGTGGAAACGACAAAGTCATCACGTATGACACTGATGAACATCCACCCGTTGATTGCTGCCAGGTATGTGGAAAAAGTGGGGGAATGGCAGATTGCCACTAATGTATCATTTCAGATTCCAAGGTTTGAGGAAGGCCAGAATGTGGTCGAGATCCTCCAGGAGATGGTTATGGCGAAAATTCCATTGGGCATCTTTGAGATTGTCCCCGGGGAAACGGACCAGGAGGATACAGTCTCCCAAGTCGACCAGGACGATCACCCGACACAACGCATGGATCATGGGAGGCACTCCCCCTGGGCTTTCTCACCCTTGATTGTCAAGATGTCGGAGACAACACAACTTAGAACAGGAATGACATGGAGACCTTGGATAACTGTGACAGCAGTTCCATACAGTGTTCTATCGGGTCCAACTATCCCGGCGAAACTGGCGGCAGTGTCGGTTGCTCACCTCATCTCCACAGGGATGCTGGATGGAGATGAGGACCTAGATGCAAGGGTATACTCTATTGATTGGGAAAGATTCTACAAAAGTGATTGTTCGGATTGTGAGTTGAAGCAGGAGAATGAAGATGATGAGAAGGAAGACGTGGGGTTGGGCTTAGATTTGGGAAAGGACAACAGTGATAGTGATGGACCGTACAAGATAGATGATCCAGACGTAACGTCGCCCCTGGAGAAGGGACAAGACACGCCCAGACCCACTTCTGGTGACGAACCAGTGGGAATGGACACGGGATAGCTGCGAGGATGGAGGAGCTCATAAGAGTAGCGAATAAGGGGGCGGAATGGAAAGACTGGAAGTATCAAGGGATAGTTATCCGAAGCTAGAACATCAATGGGTTGGGTAATATCGTAAACAAAGAAGACAAACTGAACGACTTAATCAAAGGTCTGACAATACACAACAATAAAATAGTTGACATTATAATGTTACAAGAAACCCATCTTACCCTCTCGGCTGAACACAATAGAATTCGCACTTTCTTAGCAAGGAAACTAGGAGGTATCAAAGATGAAATATGGGTTGCAGACAGTGTATTGCGCACGAAAGGGACAGCCATTCTGGTCCCCAAATCCTCTCGCATCTACACGACAGGAAGGATCCTAGACAAAAAAGCCGACCTTAGTGACGATGGTGCCTCATGCACTTCAAATGGAAAGAGGAAGAGTTTGTATCGATCATTGTCTACGCTCCAAATGATTCATCCGAGAGGACCACCTTTCTTGCCAATCTAAGCAGAATGATTCCCCCGCTCTCAACTTGTGTTGTAGCTGGCGATTGGAACATCACGATAGATCCCTCCACAGACCGTATATCAAGGTCGTTCAGCTCACCTAACACACAAAAGGCGATACCAATCCAGAAATTGATGCTAGATCACAACCTGGTAGAACCGTATAGAACTTTGCACCGTACCAAAAGGACCTTCACACTAATAAAAAAGAATCACGCTCATCACACTGCCTTCTCATTCATAGATTACTTCTTGGTATCAGAGACAATGATGGGGGCGATCAAAAGTGTTGAAATTCTACCTCTTGCACCATATTCGGGCTTGGACCATAAGCCGATTGAGCTAATAATCAGCTTTGAGCATTTTGTGAGAAAAGGGGCCAGTTTTTACAAACTAAACAACTCTCTCCTATTGAGTCGGATTTTCCAGGGCGGGGTATGCAACTGTTGGCAAAACCAGAGAGCCACACGCCTGCCCATTCATGATCGATGGAAGTGGTTCCAAGAGAGCTACTCCGCTCTCTTCCAGACAGTGGCAAAAATCTCAAGGAAGCTAGCTACCATGAGAAAACAAAGGAGACAGACTTTGGAATTGGCCCTAAAGATCGTTGAGACCAACCTGATTGACAACCCTTCGTCTTCGCTATACTCCGACGTCCTTGAGAAAGCACGTGAGGAATTGGCTTTATGGAGATGGTGGGACATAAAAGGACTCCAAATAAGAGCCAGAATGAACGAATACGAGCTTCGCGAATCAATGTCGAAACAATTTTTTGCCTGCATCAAAGCCAACTCAAGGGCGAGTACTATAGAGAGTTTGAAAACTCTCAAAGTCCCAGAAGAGACAGTATCACATAGCGAAGGAATGCTAGAAGTAGCAAAAGATTTCTATCAAGAGCTCTATCAGGCCAAAACCCCGACGCCCACTCCACCGGGCACAAGGGAAGCAAGACAAAGGATGTTACAATACCTGAAACAGACGATAACAACCGAACAAGCGGAAGTGTTAGACAAACCACTCACTTCGAAAGAACGATATCAAGCACTCAAGAGTATGAAAAATGATAAATCACCAGGGATTTATGGGTTAACGAAAGAATTCTGGAAGAAATTATGGCCACTCCTGGGTGGCGACTTGCTAAACTTCTACAGCGACAGTTGGGCGAAAGGGGGACTAGGAAGCCTCCTCAGTAGTAGTGTAGTTACTCTGCTGTACAAGAAGGGAGATAAAGAGGACATCCGGAACTACAAACCTATTTCGCTCCTTACGCTCCCCTACAAGATCTTGGCCAAAGCCTTATCTGCTGGAATCATGGAATTAACAGATAAGTGCTTCCATATCGACCAAACAGGTTTCATTTCGGGGAGGTACATACTGGACAACGTATTGACTCTAAATGAAGCAGCCAATAAGGTCCGAGAAAACAGGATAAAGACAGCCATCCTTTTCTTCGACTTTGAAAAGGCGTATGATCAAGTGAACTGGACCTTCCTAGATGCAAGCATGGAGAAGATGGGAGTGGGACCAAACTTTAGGAAATGGATACGCATCTTGTACAACGATGCTACAGGCTGTGTACAGGTAAATGCCTTGTTGTTTGAATGTTATCCAATCTCCAGGTCAGTCCGTCAAGGAGATTGCTAGCTCCCTCGATCTTCCTGTTCGTAATGGAAGCTATTGCATCATTCTTACGCAAGAACCCGTCCATTCACAGACTCCCAGAGGTCAACGTGGGGTCAGCCCACCATATGAACTTCTCGACAGTAATCATGTTCGCAGATGACCTTACTGTCCTGATCAGAGCCTCAGACTCCTCATTCAAAACTTTGGCTAGAGCCATGAAAGCTTTCAGATTGGCCTCAGAGATAAGGATCAACTGGAAAAAGACAGTAGGATGGTGGCTATTAGTCGAGGACCTCCCTCATATGCAAGGGCTTGAGGCCGCCATGACGTGGGAAAAGTCGGACACTTCGACCCACTACCTTGGTATCCTTATGACGATGGAGGGTCTCGCACCCCAAATGGCCCAAAATATCCTGAGAAAGAAAATTAATAAACTAGGGAGATGGGGAACACGTTCAACTCAGTAATTGGTTGAGCCCTAGTTCTCAACACATCAATATTCTCTATGATGTGGTATATAGCGTCAATCTGGACAATACCGGATAGCTCGATTAAGGAACTTAACCGTAGAGCAAGGTCCTATATATGGACGGGGAACCCCAACAAAGAGGGTTGTATTCCTAAGATTGTCTGGCAGTATATCACGAGAAAACCATTGTATGGGGTTATAGGGGTTATAGACCCTAGACAGGAAACAAGGGCCCTCCAAGTTAAATGGATAATCAAGCTTCTGATGAAGCCTAACAACGCATGGAACAAACTAGCTTTAGATAGCATTAGAGCGTTGGCGCCAATGGCCTCACCAGAAAACATGACAGGTCTGTTCTGGGTAATGACCAAGGAATGGAGCCCCAAGACAAGGCGGAGAAAACCAAGAAGAGGAACTAGAGTTGGGGAAGCCACTCGTCCCACCCCATACTGGACAGCTCTGATTTGGATATGGAGAGAAATTTTGGCAAAGGAGACTAATAGACCAAGGTCCAAAGATGAGGTTCTGAGACAACCAATGGGTTACAGACGAAGGCAATAATCCCCTACATTTAGATCACAGATGGCTATCACGGGTCAAGAATGGGGTATGGAAAGTAAGTCACCTATGGAGTGAAGAAAGGAAAGAGTGGGTAACCGAAAAGGAGCTGAGCACGCAGTTGAAGGGATGTCATAGGCGAGGTTCTAACCTCCAATACATTATTAACCTCATCACTCAAGACTGGAAAGATATCTTGTGTGAAGCGTCGCCGTGGAAATCTGGAGAGTGGGAGGTTAAGGTACAAGAGTCCCCTCCCTCACGAGCCTTCCAATTCTCCCACATGCAACCGGGTTCGACCACCACAGCGTTCTTCTCCTCCTTCCCGATTTTCCCTTCTAAACATGGAATAGCGTCTATATTAAACAGAGAGGTGGAATCGGTAGTCATGGACTTCTTTCTACTTAGGAAGGTAAAAAGTACTAGGGTCGTGGCCTAAATCAATCTTCAGACCAGACACGTCAATCCAGAACCTGGAATTTGACCCGACAGAATGGGCTTGGATACCAGACAGGGAGAGAAATGTCAAGTCCAAGGTCCCCATATGCGACTATACAGTCAAATTCGGCTGCAAACTCCTAGTTAAAACAAAAGACCCAGATCCTATAATCAAAAACAGATGGCAGAAACTAGTAGGTCAGGAAGCCGATAAAATTACACAGATCCCGTGGAAGAAATTTAAGACTATCAGACCCATAAAAATCAGGAGCCTCCAGTGGCTCATTACGTACACGACACTGCCTGTGAATCAATGGCAACATATAAAACGTCAAAAAAATGATACCATCAGTTCGGACCTATGCATAGTCTGTACAGAAGGGGCTCAAGAAGACATAGTTCACTGCCTAATCCAATGTAGCAAGGCAACAGATTACTGGGCAAGGGCCTCATCCCTCTGGGATTCCCTCTTCCATGTCCCCTTCCCCGAGCACCCCATCCAATGCTACAGGCTGAAATTCTCTGCAGATGGCAAAGGTTAAGGATGTCGATGCCTGAGGACGAGAACCAGCAAGAAAAGGTTAGGAAGAAGTTTACCAGACAGTGGCTGGTGAATGGTAAGGTGGCCGATGGTGAATGGTAAGGTGGCCGAGTTACATAATGACCGAGTGTGCTGGAAAGACTGGCACAATTCAAAAGCAGGCCGGAGGCCCCAAACCACACCTGCAGCGGATGGGCTGATGAGCTGAAGGGAGAAAGGGGCCACGTCAGGTACCAGGCATCAGGTATGAGAACAAAGGCATGGTTGAAGGACTTCTAAAGTGGGGACTAGGAGGAGGAGACTTCGCTCAAACCTAGACGCTGTGAAAACTGTCCCAGACAGGACAAGCAATCAGAAGGGCCTAAGGATACATAGAGAGATAGGAATCCATAACGAAACTCAAAGGTCAAGGACCACAGGTTGAGGACGCAAGAGGTGGGGCAAAACTGAAATCTAAGGCCAGGATAGGGTAAGCTGACGAAAATATAGACTTACCACATACCCGGGTTCAGGGCGGAACAGACGGTATTCTTCATTAACGGAAGGATAGGTACCGTATAAGTTATGGATATGGAAGTAAGGACACATAAGTGGCTATGGAGCACAGTTTACAGGTTGCTGTCAATGGAAGGCTAGTAGAGAAGGTATACCACTTAAACGAATAGGGGAAGGGCTAGGGTTAAAGGGGTTAGCCAACCGGTAGCGACTCAAGGGTTTAGGGTTTAAGGGTTTTAGCCAACCGGTTCAAGGTAGCAGAGGCTAGGCCTACTTTTAAGTAATGTAAATAGGGTTAAGGCAGCTTGGTAGACAATAGGCAATCTTTTTTGGGGAGGCTGAGAGGTGGGAGTGGTCGTTGCTGCTAAGGGCCTTTCTTGGTTTCTCGTTTGTAACTGACAGGTTCCTTCAGAGGGCCTGAGAGGAAAGGGTTTAGCGGGGCAAGTTGACAGTCAATCCTCCATATACATGGAGTAATCAATGCTGGTCAGGGGTCCTTCGGCCGTACGGAAGGAAGCGTGTGTGAAGTGCTCATGCTGTAT